GTACATCGAGATGAAATACTACATTTAGTAAGGAATTATAAACCAAATAAAATAAAAACATCTGCCCTGGAGATAAGGATAGTGCTGACAGATCAACTTCCAGTTCATTGCGCGCCGCGGCGTTCCCCCCGCCGAGCAGCGTGAAATTGATAAACAGATTTCGGATTTCGAAACTTACTTTCGCTTTAGATCCTTTACACATTAGCAAATATATATCGGAAATTCTATTTGATATAATTGAAAGTTTAAGCTTACTTTTATAAAATTGCTCTAACAGTATGCAAAAAATAATAAGCCGGATCCAATTCGAAGATTAAGGAACAACGCAATCTGCAACATTAACTGAATTAGATAATTTTAGCTTAGCTTATACCGTCCGTTATACATTAAACGCGCATGCATAAACTTTTTATGCGCATGCGCACACGCATATTCGCAGCCGTAAAAGTCTTACGCGCGCACGTAAGCGCCTATGCGCAGAAAGTTTGTAGCTTTGAGGTCCGGATTATGAGTGTCCGAATTAACGACTTTTTACTGTACATTATCATCAGTTCAGATATCACAATTAAGTTATACATCTGTTTTATTTATAATTTAAATCTCACTTGGCATATCATCACTAAGCAGGTTTTTTTACATATTTATTATATGTTTATCCCAAAAGCTACATATCACGTTATGTTATGCTTTACAGTAGAATATTTGTTAATATGAAAGAGTTTGAAAAATGTAGTCTTGTCCTTTTTGATGGTCATTCATTGCTTCTTTCTGAAATCACTCATTTATTGAGTCAGCTATGTATCGTAAACTTTTATCTTGTTGGAAAATCCAAACGCTGGAGTATAATGTTCTGAAAAGAATAGAGCAAGGTTGGCCAAACTTCACATCAGTAAGAGCAGCACGTTTGAATTCAGGAATGTTCGAAAGCCGCATCTACATTTTTTAAAAGCCACAAGTTCATGTTTACATCATTACAGAAGTAGTGGAGGAGGTTTGAAATAGAAAAAAATCGTTGATGACTTTGTAAAACGAGTCGAAACTAATTAATTACTTCCTTTTGGACACTGAATAGTTTTAGTTTACTATATTTCATACATATATTTTATATGCATGAGCCGCACAAATTGTCTGCGAGAGCCACACTTTAGCTACCCCTGGAATAGAGTGTTCATAGTATATAAATGAATACTATGTGATGCTATATGTTGAGCGATTTTGACAGTGGTGGATTTGCAATCATATCCAGAACGCACTTTTATCATTAGTTCACTTTCTATTTATCTATCAAATCTCAGGATTCTAGCCATACAGGCATGATCTGAGTCAGAAACCTAAGAAATACAGTCTCAGAATTATATATCTGGTTGGAACAAAAGTTTCCATCAAATTTTTATTATTAATATTGGTTTTCCATCAAAAATATTGGTTTTCCATCAAAAAACGTTCTTAATAAATTTAGGAAAAAAGAAACATGAAAGCAGTACCTTTAATGTAGGTAGTAATCACCACCCAAATCTACAATTTTCTTCCAATGCTTTGGTAGTTTTTCAAAGCCTTTGTCCCAGAAACTTGGTGGCTGCAAGTCCAAAAATAGATCAACCTAATTTTTGATGTCCTGTGCAGAATGGAACATAGCACCAGCAAGATTTAACTGCAGGTGTGGAAAAAGGTAGAAGTTCAAAGCAGCGATGTCGGGGCTGTATGGTGGATGTGGCAGAAGATCCCATTTGAGTCCATGGCAGCCGGTCCGAGTTCCAACCGGTAAATGCAAACAAATGTGGTCTTGCATTATCTTGAATATTACCTTTTTTGTGCTGGAAGTCAGTTCAGCATTTTCCCTTGATAGCAGCATCAACACGGACTAGTATCTCGCTGTACACTTCACTGTTGAGGGTTTTACCTTTTTCCAGATACTCTTTGTTGGTAGTAACATGGCAATCCCACCAGATACAAAGCGTGATCTCTTTATTAGTCAAATTGCACTTTGTACTGCAGCCATGTGCAGACCAATTTCCTTTTCGGCCTGTGTTCTTCAAGTAAATTCACTTTTCATCACAAGTGACGATCCGGCCTAGAATTTTGTCTTTGCATTGATATTTTAGCAGATTAGTGCATATCTGAATACGTCTATTCGTATGTGCTTAAATCAGCTCATGCGGCACATAGCAATTGAACTTGTACACTGCACAAAAAAAAGGGGGGAACAGTTCTATATCTTTTGTTCTACTGGGCCGATTGAGAAAATTCAAGTTGCATTTTTCATGTCTCGAAAACGCAACTTAAGATATATATTAGATTTAAATATAGCATTGTTCTAACATAGGTATTTTTCCATATTTCGATTCTACAACTCAAATTATGCCTAGATATTAAATTTTGTAAAATTTGGTGTGAAATTTACGGAAAATTTCAAAAATTAATATTGGCACAATTTTTTCAGTTTGCACCAAGAATAATTCACTTGACAACCTTCTTAATATGTGGCAACCAATTTTCCTTTCCCTTCCATTATGCCGAAGCGAAAAAAAAAAGGCACTTTTCCTACCTTTTTACATTGTGCATGAGCGGAAAAAAAGTTACATCTTTTCTATTTCCAAATAATTTTAGCAAAGTGTCTAAACCACATTTGATGTTTTATCACTTTCAACAAATATGCCAAATTTCAAAATGCACACATATATAAATTCATGTATATCTTTGAAAATTGTGACTAAAAAACTAATTTTTTTGCAGGTATGTTTAGAAATACGTCTCTACTTTAAGATGATGGTAAAAAATTTATAGATTATAATTAAAAAAATTTTTTGAAAAATTTATAAAAAATATTAATTTAAAAAATAAATCATAAAAAAAGTGAATCTTATTTGGAATAAACCTAAATTTCAAATATGAAAGGAAGAATCAGATATGTTTAATAAAAAAAGAGAAATTAATAAATATATACTAATCTCAATTTACATTGAGGAGCTAAAATTTTGAGAGCTAAGGTTTTAAAAACTACTCGTGCGATTTTTTTTTTTTTTTTTTTTTTTTTTTTTTGGCGTAATTTGAGTCGTAAAATTGAAATATGGAAAAAAATTGGTATGTTATTTCAGAAATAGTCCAATTTTGTGTCAAAATGCCTATATTGGGACAATGCTATATATAAATCTAATACATATATTAAGTCGTGCTTTCGATACATGAAAAATGCCAGTTGAATCTTGTTAATCAAACGGGAGATATAGAACTGTCCCCCCCCTTTTTCTTTGCGCAGTGCACATCAAGTTTATGCAATGCATAGTGTGACTAAGAACATGGCACTAATGTCTAACTCCTTAGCAAGCTCTCAAGTGGTTCTTCTCATCAACATCAGTAGTCTAGTCAGAGCGATGTGCTTCTTGAATAGTCATGGTCCTTGTTTTTGAACTTTCGGTACTAAATCTGCACAGTGTCATATGATACAACATTAGTACCTAAAGCTGTATACATGATTTAGTAACATTCTGTAGCTGACTTTTTGGCAACAGAAGTGGAAGTAAATGATGGTTCTAATCTGGTAGCATGATGGTTCCATTTCAGACACCTTGTACTTAATGATAATGATATTTAACAAATTTCACAGCATAGTGTTATAAAACAGTCTCTTTCTTTCAAATACCAAAAATTGTTTGACAAAATATGATTAAACATGCAAACGCAAACAGCGCAGTGGCGAGAAACTTTCATTAAAGCTGGATAGGTTAAATATTTCCACATGTAAGAAAACAATAATCTTTAATTTTTCTGAATGACAGATGAAGGAATTTTACAGTTTTTGCCTACCTTTATCTTCAACTTTGTTTTCTACTGGCAAATGTTTTTCTTTTCTTCATTTTAATGAATTTATTTAGCATTTAAAGATTGATAAAGCTGTATGCAGTAAATAATTCATTATATAGTAAGCACTTTGTGTCATTGTTTAGCACTTGTCTCATTAACACAATTTTAACAGTTGCTAGATAGAGCCCTGTCTTTTTTTTTATTTAATATGCAGAATACTTTATAGTTCTTTTCTTTTTACTGCAGTTGTTCTACCCTTTCTTTTGATATTTTGAAACAGGTCTGTGAATAGTTTAGCAATCTCCTTGCAAAATTTTTTGCTAGCAAGTTGTTACTTTTCTTTCTCTCTTTAATATTGCTTTTGGTATCTTAACATAGCACATATTTAACAAATAATGAATAATTCTTTTATGTTTCTGTGCAGTGAGCTGAGGAGAGGGGGGTTGGGAAGAAAAAGAGAAAAAAATTTAAAAATTTTGAAGTCATGTTTAAAACGCAAAAATAATCATAATTTTTTCTATAAAAACCATTGGAACTCAGAATACAATGAAAAGAATGTGAATGAAAATGGCAACCTTTTTGGAAACTGTGTATTTACCATGCATGGTTGCTTCCATGGTTGTTATGTGCTTGGTTACCAGAGTTTGGTGTGTTCTGAAGCTTTGGTGAACTCTATTAAGATGGTAGTGATAGTACATAAGTACTCAAATTTTAACAGAATGTACAAATTATGGTACGAATGTGTAGATAAAGGTATAGTACTACTACATAATATTTATCACATTGTTAATGTGATAAATAATTATGTGTAAACCAGTTAGACTGTTTAGTCATAAAAGGGATCAATAATGTTTTTCAATGAGATGTTACTGAAGAATCGGTATTTATTGCATATAGTGATAAGCATTAAAATGGAGCAGTTCTTCCATGAAAATTGAGACAATTAAATTTCTTCTTTTGGAGTACCTTTAAATATTTTCATATATAGCTAAAATTTTATATAAGGAGGAGCAAGCCAAGGAAATTAAAAAATCTTTTTCCTATACAGATAAGATAAGCACCACTATGTGCAAAGTATGAGAACAATTAATTATAAATGTGTCTTTATGCTTTTAAAATGATACTCTGTTTAATAGTAATGGAAAAGTTGTGTATAAAATTGCATTTAATTTTTAAAAAAATATGTATGAAATATTTAGGTGCTTGTTCAAATGGAAAGCCTTTGAAAGAACAGGCAAGCTGTAGCAGTCCGTCCTCTTCTGTTGAACTTGAATGGGAAAATGAAGATGGTATTTTTTTCCCCTATAATTTTAAATGATTAAGATGATTTTCATCTGTGAAATCAATACTTTTTAATATTATATCTCCTTATTTCTAATTAATTAAGCTAATTATATTTTAGCTGCATTGCAAACTATTACTGAATAAAACTAGAATGATATTGTTACTGCATAGTATTTACTTGTCTCCCTTTATTCTCCCTTCCCCTTATTTTAATTGGGGAGGAGTATATGCATTATGGTGCAGAACTGTAAATATATAGTTTTTGAAGATGAATAAGTGGATGTAATATGGATGTGTGTAATGTAGATTTTGAAGACGTATAATATGGATGTAATTTGGATATGTATTTTATGTAAACTGTATTACTACAGATATGTGCTATAATCATATATTTATTACCTTTGAAACAATTAATTACACTTACATCTAATTAGATTTACAACTGGGAAATTAAAAACAATTCAGTAGAAATTGTTTATTTGGTGTTCTAAATATAAGTGCCCAAGTCCTGTTAATAATTTAAGAAAATTTTCCTTTAATAAACAAAATCTGTTTCCTTAGAGCTTTGTTAATTACACTAGTGACTGGCTAGTGTAATCTTGTGACTGGTGTCATCTTGTTGAAATTTCTAGTGACTGGCTGTGCTCAGACAGTACTTTTTCTCAAATATGTGTGCCAGTATCCTGCAGAAAATCCTCCCAAAGGTAGCCCTCTTAATGTAGATAATGCTGACATGCTTAGCTTGAAAATCATTATGGGTTTTGGAGAAATTTCTTTGCATAACAAAAAGAAAATATTTATCAATCATAATTCTCTTTTCGAAGTATTTCTCTGAAACTTCAAAATCCAGTTTTTTTAATCAGTTTATATCTATATAGTGTCACATTTTTTTTATTAAAAACATAATTATTCAAAATATTTTCACGCAATATGCTGCTGAAAATTGATCGCTGTAGACAAAAAGTAAGAAATTGAGAACCCATTTTACATAAAGACCTAAAAAAAGTGAAATTTAATGCCAATAAATTTCAAAATATCCTATAAATATGCAAAATGAGAATTAAAGATATGGGAAATTAAAACCTAAAAATTATAAATACATAAAAAAATACCAGAAAAATAATTAAAGAAGAGGAATTCAATTAAATCTGATGTAATGTTATCAAGAGGAGGCTACATCAGACTTAATTACAGTCCCTTTTCCACTTGAATTCCCTTTCACTCCTTTTATATAAATTTTAAAAAAATTTCTTACAAGCATTAAATTCACCTTTTAGGAGATTTCTAACTTGCCTTCGCTAATTTGTTTCACTAAGCTAAACTGGCAACCCTTAGCATCAATTTTGAATCTAACAGCTCATTTCAGCGTTTTGAAATTTGTACTTTGATTATGCTGTTCCTGCTTCATTTCTAGTGGATACCATTTCTACATTTTAATTTCAATTTATTCAATTTTAATCTTACGTTGTGTAAAAAATGGCTTAACTACACTGCTGGCCACCCAAATTGCAACACCAAGAAAGACAAGAGATATCATAACAAAATTTATTTAGTAGATAACATGTTGACCAAGTATCAAATGATTAAATTTATAGACTTCTGTCAAGTGTGGTCCCTTTCCAGAATCAGTAGCCAGAGTAGCCGCCATTGTTGGAGATCACCGCTGCCCACGCCTCGACATTGATTAAAAGAGACTTCAGATGTGTTCTTGGGGTACAGCAGACTAAGCAGCTTCCACACATTGCCAAAGTTGATCTGGTTTTGCAGCTTGGGATGAAATCTGGGTCAATCGTTCAGCAACCATGGACCACATGTTTTCTATCGGCGAAAGATCTGGAGAGCAAGCCGGCCAGGGAAGCAATTCCATCTGGCGATTGACGAAGATCCCTTGGACAATGCGTGCCACGTGTGGTCACGCATTATCTTGTTGAAATATGGCTGTGGGCAAGCCCTGAAGGTAAGGAAGGATAACTGGCTCCAACACCTCGGAAATGTAGCGCTGGCTGTTTAAAATATCGGCAATGCATACTAGAGGAGTGCGAGAGTGATATCCAATACCGCCCCATACCATAATACCGGTGCAGGACCAGTGTGGTGGTGCATAACGCAGCTGTTCAGCATCCTCTCTCCACGGTGTCTCCAGACTCGAATCCAACCATCAGGGTGTTGCAGACAGAAGCGTGACTCATAAGTAAAGACAATTTCATTTCATTCTGATGCTAAAACAAAGTTTAAAGTTTAAAGAAATTAAACATTTAGCAGTAGTAGCAATGAAAGCTCCCTGAGATATGTTGTGCAGACATTGAAGACAATAAAGGATTTTGAACTTAACCAATTTATTAACAATATAATAAAGAATAAAAACACAGAAAAAAAATAAATGTCAACAATATTAGAGTCTTAGGAAAAATATAATATAATCATCATTCATCCAAAAATATTTTTACCTGGTCTCCAAAACACTGGCATTCTATACAAACAAAAAATGTCTTAAACAGTGACTATGCAGCCTAAAAATAAAGCTGGCTACCCATTCAATAAGTCCATAATCAATGGTCAAGAAAAACACCTGAAAATTTAAATGTGAAAACACTTAAAACCGGCCTAACTCCGTTTGCACAAGGAGTCGTCACCGCTCACGTATTTTTAATTCCGCCTTCATTGAAGAAACATGGATGCCGCCCACGGCAGTCACTCACAGGATAGCCTCTGGAACCGAAGAACTTTAATCTGGAACCATCATCTCGCAAACCGGAATCAAGGCATTTTTTCACCGGACTGCATGCATCCTTTTGAAGGGGCTGGAAACCGCTCACTCACTTGCCGGGAAACCAGGAACTAGAAGGGTTGAGCCAGAGCGACGCGAGATACTTATAGCAGAAGTAGGAATGACGTCATCTCACGGCAACCAATCAGCTATCGGCACGAATCGGCTTTTCAGATGACGTAACATCATGTTTCGTTTTTGCATCTCAATTAGGTTGAAACAGTCCGTTCTCAATGCAAACAGTGGCAGCAAGAAAAAGAAGTAGAAGTAACTACTATATTACATTAAAATAAGGACTAAACTAAATAAACATTTCAAGGAGGAGAGATGATGCAGTAAAAGGTTTAAAAATAAGCTATATTTTCCAACACATTCTGCCATCCACATCCTTCTTTCATCACACCATTGGTGGCGGAGACATCTGTGGTTCTGCGTAAAAGGTAGATGAAGCAATGGACATCTTGTGGACAGACCACTCTGCTGTAAACGGCATCGAATGGTATGTGCAGATGCTGGATGATGTATTACAGACTGAATGTGCTGTGCTATGGTTCATGATGTGACTGAGCGATCCGTCACTGCCATGCGCACAATGTTCCTGTCATCACGTGAAGTGGTGCACTGAGGTGAATGCGATCAAACACATTGGTCCGTCATACCCTCCTGCATCCAATGGTCACATATCCGCATTACAGTTGTTTGGTTTCATCCAACACAACTACTGATTTCCTTGAAAAATAATACACACTCTTGGTAGGCCACTATCCTTCCTCTCTCGAACTCGAATACTTGACCAAATGATGATCGCTGTTTACTACGAGGCATAATTGATCTTTTTTTTTTTTTAAAAAAAAACCACAAGAAAAACACAATTTTTGAACCTGAAATCGTTGAAAACTCCAAGCCTTAAATAGCACTTTGAAGTGGCGCCACAGGCACGCGTGATATCCGTCTGCGCTGAAATTCTAATCATTTGCATATCTTTACTCCGCTAATGCATGTTGTAAATTTCATGTTATTTGCATGCTTCCGACAGGGTGTTGGATTTACGGTACCCAGCGGTGTATTTACTTTAATCAAATTTGATATTTTCTTGAAATGGATGTATTTACTATTTTTCACTGCCAAATTTCTACTTCTTCCTCTGAACTAAGTTTTAAATTCATGTACTTGTTTTATTTTTGTTATTTTTTATTTCACTTTTAAACTCAGTTGAAAAGTCTTAATTTTATTCTTTTACTTGATTTACATTGAATTTTTCCTTGCATTAAGGAGGACTTCAAAATTTTCGGATGAACTGTTATAATTAAAAAACTTTAGAATAGTTCTTCAGCCAATTTTGAATACAGAATGCAAGGGTCTTTAAGTTGAAGGGAAATTGTAATAAGTCTGGTGTATCTTGAGTTTGATGAACTCTTGATAATATTACATCAGATTTAATTGAATTCCTCCTCTTTATTTATTATTCTGGTATTGGTTTTGGAATATTTTTTAGGTATTTATAATTTCTAAGTGTTAGTTTCATATTTCTTTAATTCTTATTTTATATTCTTATTTATTCTCAAAATATCGTATGTATAGAATATTTTGAAATTTGTTATTATTAAATTTCACTTTTGGTGGGTCTTTGTGTAAATGGCTTCTAAATTTCTTACTTTTTGTCTCTCTCTCTCTGTGTGTATATACACATTAAACATGATAGATTATTAAAAATGTTTGTCATTTTTGGGCAATTGGTTAGCAGTGATTCGAGCCTCATAATGGCAGAAAAAACAAAACATGTTTGGCACTCATTAATCATCCTGGTTTAATGTTTTAAATACTAATCCCTTGAAAATTTATATTTGATGCATTAAGCAGAAGGTGATTAGTAGTGTTTATATATTTTTCCTATATATATGTTTTTCAAGCTTTTAATAACTGTTTCCAGTTATCATTTTAAGAAATTTTGCTTCTGTCCTCAGTATTAAATCTAATAATTTATTAATTGCACTACCCGTATTAATATCCTAAACAGTTTTTTCTAGGATGGGAAAATCTTTTTAATGAAAGTTGCTTTTAAAATATTTCTTATAATAATATCCTTAAAATTCAGTCCTTTGTAGCTCAAGTGCAGGAATTAAATAATTGATTATTTTTATTTTTTATATATTCTTAACCTCATATGTATGTGTATATATATGTGTATGTGAAATCCTTTGGATTTTGGATGCATGTAGTTTTGCATACATAAGAGAAATAGTTGTAGTTTAGAAAACACACTTATTTTAATTCTGTAGAAGAACATTTTGCTGAAGCAGAGATTTCCCAACAAGCATTGGATATCCTATTTAAGCTTCAATAGTTCGTTGTAGAATTTGATGGTATGAAACAGAAAGCAACGTTCATAGCAATTTGAACTTGTTTTATTTCTGGACCAAACAATTCTTGACATCTGTGCACATCTTAATGATTATAATATGTACACCTGTTCTTGATCACTTAGTGCATATTTTCACTATTATAACAATAGTATTGATGAAAGCTAAGTATATGGTGAAATCTTTGCAGCACAGCTAGTGAAGGCAGGATTGTGACATGCCTAAGATGAAAGCTTGATTTAAAATGATTTAGGTTCAGATGAGTTTTGTTTTGATTGCCTAATATCAAGTTTTCACACCCAAATCTGAAATCATTATATATTAGCTGTGAACATTACATTAGAATCACATCAGTAACGTTGCAATGCTTAATTTAATGCAAAATGCAAAATGGATGCAAAATGCTTAAATGCTTAATTTTAAATTTTCAGTAATTTAAGTTATTATAAATAGTAACTAATTTTAGGATGGAACTGAGAATTACCTAAATTAAAAGGGAAAGTTAAAGAGTAGTTCCAAATTAAAGTTAGTATTTTCTCTCTCTCTCTCTCTCTCTCCTCTTTTTTTTTTTTTTTTTTTTTTTCTTCCCCAGTTTAGTGACAGAAAAGCCTTTTTTAGAGAAAAAGCTATTAGAAAATGAAAATCAATGTACAAAATATACAATATTGAAACAGTGAAAATATGAAAAAGAATGATTTTATGCTATTATTTCTTCTCTTTTTCTTCTTAACTTTCTCATATTAATGAAACAAAATTATATATAAAATTATAGTTTTTAAATGACTATAAAATTATGCAAATATATAAACCAAAACAGAAGAGAAAAATGCTTCAAATAAATCATAAAAGTGAAGCAACAACTTGTGTTGGGCATAGATTTTTAGCATAGAAACTCTATCAATTTTGTGGGTGAACTGTCCCTCATCACCATGATTTCTTTGCTCCTGATGAAGAGGGACTTTGTTCGCCCTCAAAATCGATAGAGCTTCTATGCTAAAAATCTAGTCCTAACACAGTTTGTTGCTTCACTTTTATGATATAAACCAAAATAATAAGCCAAATGAAATATTTTAAAGTTTTTCAAATTTTCTTTAAAACTGTGCTCAGTTTTTGTCTTTCTATGTGAACTACCTTTTTTAAGCAAATTTCTAAAAATGGCTCTAATTTTGGCATAATTAGAATAAATTCATGATATATGTTAATACTTTAAAGAAATTTTTATAGTTCTTGAACATGTTTTGGTGGTTGATACTTTCTGGCATGGCATATTGAATATTTTATGTTTTCCTTCTCACATATATGAAGTATTATTTGAAGACGCTCTAAATGTTCTTCAGAACTTTGGGAGAATACTATGATGCCATCAAAATAATTTAAAGCAAACTGAATTTGATGCTTGTGAAAATTTAGTTAAAGAACTCTTTGAAAAACCCAACCAAAAAGTAATCTGTTGAAATCATAAAGACCAAAATTTGTTGTGAAGGCTAATTTGTTAGTATCCTTTTTATTTAATTTTAAATGTCAAGAATTAATTGCTAGATCTAATATGGAAAAAAAACTTTTGCATTTGTTAATTGGTCTAGCACGGTATCTATTCTAGAAATATGTTCTGAATTTGTTTTAGTAATTTAGTGCAGCTTACAGTCTGAGGGTAATTTGGTAAAGCGTACAATCTGCAGGTAAAGAAAGTGCAGCAACAAAGAGCAAGCAAGTTGGTAGGAACAGAAGTGCGAGAAAGATAATGCAGCATGCCTAAAATGAAAAGTTTCACTTCAGTTTTATTTTGATTTCTTAGCATTATGTTTCAGTTCCTAAATTTGAAATCTGTATTGGCTATCTACATCATAAGCATTAAATAATTATCATACTGGGAATATAAATTTTGAAATGACACAGTTTAGAGAGATTTGTTATAAACTGTTACTATTTTTAGGATTGAAAAATGAAGCAAACAGATTAAAAAAGAATGTTAAGGGGCTATTGTATAAAATTAGTATTTTATCCAAATTATTTTTTGTCATACATATCTGTGTATATTTCAAATCTGTAAGCATATTGTACCTTAAATTATTCTTAGAAAACTGTAAATGCTGACAATAATATTTTGATGTAACTGAAAATACTTCATTAATCCAAAAACATTTTAGTTAAAAAACACATCTATTTGTTATTGAATTATTAGTGAAGTAAATTCACATTTAATGTATTTACCTATTAACTTGTGCATCATTAATTAAATATATTAATCCAAAGCATGAGTTAGATTATTTTTATCATCTTTGATTATTTAATTTTCTTTGGCTATTTCTGTTATTTCCTTTTCTTTTATATGTATGTGTTGTATGAATTATATTACAGTTTTGTAAAATATTTTTATTTTTAGGTTTGTCTCCTGTAACTCATATACCTGGACCTGACGACATATCATCTGATACAGCTAGTTGTTTATCCCAGCTGTCAACTCCAGTTTCAAATGGGAATGAAGAACTAGAATGGGATGGCCATTTTACAAGGTTTTTTTTTTTTTTTTTTTTTTTTTTTTTAATTTTTTAATGGAAAAGTTATTTTGTCAAATGCAAAATTCTGTTATGTTGAATTGTTTTTGTGAAGTAATTTGAGAAATTTTATGATTATTTGAGGCATTGTTTTTGTTGTCTAATGAGCATTATTCGGGTGCTAATTTCAACTCTCTGTAAAAATAAGCAAATAAAACCGAGAAGAATTTCAATGTTTACATCCATTAAATCAAATACATTTTTTTATTTTGTGGGAAATGTAAACTTTTTAATTAAATTTGTCATGCCAAACAGGCTTATATAGAATTCTTTTCATTTATTTTTTAAAAAAAAATATTCTGTAGAAGTTTTCTTTAAATTTTTTCCCATCATGGGTGGGGTAAAAAATTATGCTCAGTACTAAAATAGTCTTATTATAAATGTAATTAAAGCATATAATTGTTTAGAAGTTCTTGTGGCCTAAAAGGTAATATGCCTAATGTTTCACACAGATTCGGATCTCAGTAAATAGGCTGGCTGCATGAGCATTTTCATCATTTTCTTATGTCTAATTAAGTCAAGTCAGTTTCCCCCATCTCTTTCTTTAGGAAGTTAACCCTCATTTACTTAATGCCATTAACTAAATGAAACAAAACAGTTTACAAGCATTATCTTTAATTTTTCTTCAAGCTCTTTGATACCGTTATTATTTTTAATCTTTTCTATATATAATGGGTAAAAAGGCATCTCATGTGGCATTTGGATAGGCAAGATTGATTAATTGAATATAGTTGACTGTTTTCAAATTTCATTCATAATGTATCAATTTATATTATTATCTTGATTTAAATGGTAAGTAAGATGCTTTTTTTATGTTTCAGAGATAAAGATTTGAAAATAATGTAACTAATAATAAAGTTTTCACCTGTCATGTCTCACCACAGAAACGAGTAAAACCACAGAAACAAGTAATTTAAAAGTGTGCAATATATTAAAGTACTGACAAATTCATATATGAAGTTACTGAGAGTTTCTAAATTCAATGCTAATTTTAAAATGCTGATTATTATATTGATATGCTCCCAGGCAGCATGCATTCGTAAATTGCACGATATTGCACGAAAAATACGTGCAATTTACGAATGGCCTTTCGTATAAAAAACGTTCAAGTTGAACGTAAAAATATCATAAAAAGTGTCCAGTGGCAATTACTAAATATTTACGTATATTTTTACGTTATACTATACGTAACTTTTACGTAAAATTTAGGTATATTTACGCGAGAGACTACTGTTCATTCGCTACTTTTACGTATAATATACGTACATTTCAGGGATTTACGTATATTTTTAGTAAAAATTTACGTATATTTATCGCATATACGTAAATCTCAAATTTTTTGCTTCACGTATGCGTATATATTTAGTAAAAATTTACGTAAATTTTCCCGATTTTTTACTGTATATAAACGTATATATTAGGTAAAAATTAAGGTAGATATTCCCCGTATTTTACGGTACAAAAACATATATTTGATAGAAATTAATGTATATATTTCCCGTAATTTACGGTACAAAAACGTATATATTTGATAGTAATTGACCTAAATCTTCCCTATGTTTTCTTTGCATATGCGAATGACTGGTAAAAATTTAATCCGATGTATTCTCCACTTTACTGTGTATAAATGCACATTTTTTGGTAAAAAATTTGCATAAATCTCCAATTACCTTTTCACTGCATTTTTTCATAAAATGTACTTATTTTAATCTCATATTTTTTATATAAATCTATGCAAAAACTTTCTGTATGCTATGATTAAAAGGTAAAATAATTTTTATATCAAATTCTTACATATCTGCCTTTTAGTTATGTACAGCAATATGGAATATATATAACTGGAAAATTTAAATGCACTAGTAAATGAAAAAAAAAAAAAAAAATTCTATTAAAAAATTATGCAACACTTAAAGGCTGAAAATTACTTTTAATATTTCATTTCAAAGTGACTACAAAATATGCAATAAATTTTGTAAACATCAATTCTGTGTTTTAAATCAATGCTATCGTTCATTTGCATTTTTGTTTACTAAATTCATTTCATAAATTTAAATTTAGTAAACAACTGTAGCAAACAGTTGTTTACTAAATAACACTTTAAATAAATTATTTGCTTTTCCGAAGGACATTTTCTTATGCCATGTAAATGAACGATAGCATTAATTGATTTAAAACATAGAACTCAGGTTTACAAAATTTATTGCATATATTGTAGTCACTTTTAAATGAAATATTAAAAGTGATTTTCAGCCTTTTAGTGTTATGTAATTTTTGAATAGAAATTAATTTTTTTGCATTTAAATTTTCCAGTTATATATATTCCATATTGCTGTACATACCTAAAAGGTGGATATGTAAAAATTTGATATTAAATTAATTTTATCTTTTAATCATAATATGCAGAACATTTTTGCATAGATTTATATAAAAAATAAGAGATTAAAATAAGCACATTTTACGAAAAATGCAGTAAATAGGTAATTGGAGATTTATGCAAATTTTTTACCAAAAATGTGCACTTTACACAGTAAAGAGGAGAAGACATCGGACTAAATTTTTACCAAAGTCATTCGTATATGCAAAGAAAACATAGGGAAGATTTAGGTCAATTATTATCAAATATATAAGTTTTTATACCGTAAAATACAAGGAATATCTACGTTAATTTCTATCTAAAGTACAATATAGTTAATTAACAAATTCAGTAAACGAATGTAGCACAAAAGAAAACATCATACGTTTAGATTATTTGAATGAGTGTGCTAAATTTTAAAATTGTTAAATATAGACCAGGAAATTGTATAAAACTTACCTTTTCCAATAGTTTACCAAGTTGACTTTGTTATTTTCCTTGAAGATGAATGTTTAATGTCACAAATATTTCATTCATATCTTCAGATAATACACAAATATATACATATTTATTTATTAAAATTCAGTTTATCCCAAACATGTTAAAGAAAATATTAATTTGCATGCAAGTTAATCGAGTAGCTTCTGTTTTAATTACACACATAATTATGATATGTAAAAATTTTACATTTATCAGTCAATCTTGCAATGTATTGTAATCTATTATTGTTGTCTTTTTCAGTTTAAAATCTTATAAATATATTAGATCAGTACTAAAAGTTCACCTCTACAAAAAAAATGCTTTATTGAGGTATTTTTAAAAAGTTCCCTTTTACAAGGTAACTGTTAATTTCATAAATAAGTTCATAAAATTATGCAAATTCAAAATTACCTAAATATGTTCTTTATTTTATCTTATATACCAGATAAAATTTTAAAAAGTTAATTTGTTTAGGAATATTGAATTTTTTAATATTTATCTCATGTGACTTTTTCTATAACATCATTATAAATGTACATGTTGATGTGGACATACCAAATTATTTTTTTCATCAAATAGCTTTATGGTATTAAATGATTTAAAAAGAGGCAACTGGACAAAAGAAAGCAATTAGAAGTTGGCTAATTTTTTATTAATTTGTTGTCAAATGCTGTGCATTTTAGATTATGCTCATATGATGACAATGAGTTATTTAAATTATAAAATTATTATGAACATATCCCACATAAATTAACAAGTATAAAATTTCAAGTTGTTTGAAGTATTATGAACTGTAATACTTGCAAAAGAAATACACATGAAATTAATTTAAGAATTAGGTTTATTTTACAGGTATTCGAAAACTGCAATTACTGTTAAACAATAAAAACTAACATTAAATCTGAAGAGCATATTTTTTTCAATAATAAAATTCAACATAGACTTCATGCAGCTTCGCCATATTTGTTCTATAGTTCGCTGTCTTTAATATCCTGCTCGATTTTTGTAAAAGTGAATTCTTTGTCACCCAATGTTTTGAGAACAGCTCCTAAACAAGAAAAAGAAAAATTTGTAATAATTTCACACTTCAGATGTTTTCAGTTTTTAAATATAGTTGAAGTATTAAAAGATGCATATAAAATGCACTGAGTATTTCATATTTAAAAATTTACATTTCAGTAATTAAAAATTTAATTTCATACTATCACACAGTAAGCTTCAATTATATACCTTACACAATGCCTATAATTTCAAGTAAAAAATACTTAAGATTTGTTTAGAACTGCAAGGTTGAGAAAGTCTTTAATGGCTATGTTTGTATTTAAGTACATGAGAAAAAACTTAATTTTGTATTAATTATATTGCATTAGCCTTTTCAATTTTACTCCTACATATAGTAAAGAATATTCGCTTTCTTACAGATAACTTTTTCTTAAATAAAGAGTAAGCAGAAAACTAATCACAACACTATATACATATAACAGAATACTTCATAAACATATACATGTCATTAACATACGTATATGCATTAACAGGCTATTTTTACACATTTCAATAAACCAGAAACCAATACACAATCAAAAGTATTATCAGTAAATTCCTCCAAAATCAGAGCAAAAATCTTTAATTATGATAACAATGGCATCTCAGTTTGCAATATAAAATATTTCAAGTCTACATTCATGTGCATTCTAAGCAAACAGAAGCTGAATAACAATAAAATTATAAATACCATAAAAAAGTTAAGAGCCACGTAGAATGATAGCAAGACTAAATGAAGTCTTCCTTCAAAAATCAATTTAAATTCAAAAATTTGCCTTCCTGTTTAACATCTCAAAATAGGGTTACTGCTTTCACTAACTAAATTTCCTGTCTTGGCAAAATAAAAATTGTCACTTCTGTTGCAGGAAATATTTGCTGCAAACTTTGTATGCAAATAATCCAGTGAAAAAATTTTAATTGTGGCTTGAATATTTTCTTTATTAAATAAATGAAAAATTGCCACATAATATTAATTTATGATCCACATGAAGCTTTTTACCTCTACCATATCATGCAGCTATTTTAAAATATATACTCTCATATAAAAGCCACAGAATTTTTTTACCAATATTAATATAGTATAAATCATTAATAAATCTTCTAAAAACAGCCCCAAAATTTTCTGAATTTGATACCCAAAACATAATTCTACGTAACTGTTAATGTATGCATTTGCTTGCACATACTTAAAATGAATTATACACACAAAAACTTAACATATTAACTTTAATAAATTCTTAATTAGCAGGATGACTCAATTAAGGCAAAATATGAAAGAAATCTACCTGATGGAATAGTTGTAAAAGATATATTTAAAAAAAGCTAATATTGTTTACCTTACACATGGCAGAAATTGAGTAAACTGTATGCAGCTGGATTATTTATTAGGAATAGAAGTTAGATCAAAGTACCAAAGTCACACTAGGGCTTTAACCATTTGGGTGCAAAGAAGCACCTGAATTTCAAAAAAGAATAATTTAAAAAAGCTAATAGAATTTATATAACTTTTACAATCTAGTACAAATATTAGACACATAAACAACACTAAATGCCATTATTTACTTGCATATTTTCCTTCTTTGTGTACTTTACTCCTTAATTTTTCAGGATATGATTTAGAAACAGAGTTATGGTAAAAATGTATACTGGTAAAAAAAAATATTGCTGAAAACTGATAAGTCCTTTGAATTATATACTATAGTGCAAAGAGGGATGGAATATGTGACTAAATATGATAAATCAGATTACAATAACATTAAACAAATAACATGAAAAACTGAAAAAAAGAAATTTTATTTGAAATTATTTTTTAACTCATGGAAAGACAGACAGTATTTCCAACTTATTAAATTCAATTATATTTTACCTTCGTCAAACCAATATTGGTAAGAGAGTTGTATTTAAAATCGGTGCTAAGCTAAAACTGCTTTCTTGCCTAATTTTATACTATTGAAAATACCGGTAATTGTCAAAGTTATTCGTACTCAATATGTGTAAGATTATTAATGAGCTGCCAAACCGCAGTTAACCATCTAATATACTACATTCAACATTATTATTTTTCTTTTTGAATGTCAGGTTTTCATTATTTCTGCCAATATATCTGTAACAGGACATAAAGATTGAGTTAATGTAGAATAGAAAATTACCTTGCAAGTTAGCACCTTTACCTTAGTGGCAGTACTTCATTCTCTAGAAAAAACATTTTAAATTATTATACTTAAACAAAAAATTCATATTTGTTACAGCAAAACATCATTAACACAATAAACCAGAGTTGAATGCAAATCTAGTTTAACTCCATTCTTGAAAACTAGTTTATTACTTTCAATTTAATTTAAAAATAATAAAAAATAAGGTACGTATTATGATGACTACCTAGATATCTCGCCTAAACTGGCAATCCTTGTAGGTTATACAGGTTAACCCTAACATAGGTTATAGAGGGCACTAAGATAGAGAGTATTAATCCCACACTAGGGACTCTAACATTTGGTAGGAACAGTTTGAAAAGTGAAACAGATATTTATAGTGAACCAATGCAAAACAAAAACAATAGTTCTTTAGGGACAAAGCCCCTTTGGACTAATAAATCCGAGTAAATTAACAGCTTTTAGCTATTTTTTTCTTCTTGTAAAATAGACATACATAATATTTTTAGAAAATAACAGTACTTTAAGCATGCAATTTTCCACATATTTAAAACACATAATTCATTCTAGCTCTGTTGCAATACTGGCAAAGGTACTCCTCCGTTATTAGGACGGGATTCAGAAATGTACAATGAAACCTCGAGATACGAGGAAAGTATGAGCAAAATACGAGATTAATTCGAGTAACGAGCAATGAGCCAGGCTGTTGGTATGGGTGGCGCCATTTCCCTATCCGGCTCAACTCGGGGAATCCCCTCGTCAGATCACTCAGTGTTCTTTTATATACGTGTTTGTGCACTTGCAAGTTAATTGTTTTGACATTTAACGTGAAAATAATTATTTCAAGATGCCTCGCAAGAAGATTGTTGCCTCAGATAGTGCTGCAAAGAAAAATAAGGAGGCCATGGCCGTCGATATCAAGAAAGAAATCGTAGATAAACATAAGCATGGTGACGGAATTGGCGAAGACTTGCGGCCTTTCAACATCGAAAATCTATACTATTCTGAAGAAGCAGGAAGAAATTAAGAAACCTGATGTAGCCAAAGGAATTATCGTTGCTTCCAAGCACCATAAAAGTACTCCTAGATGTTGAGAAGCTGTTGTTGGTGTGGATTAATGAGAATGAGTTAAAATGTTGGTAACAAAGTTAAACTATTGTTATATTATTTACCAGTGTTATTTATTAGGAAAAATTGACTTGATATTAAAATGTTGATATTTTTTGGGGTGTGGAACGGGTTAACTGAATTTCCATTATTTTCAATGGGGAAGCTTGTTTCTAGATACGAGAAATTCGCTATACCAGTTGAATGCTGGAACGAATTAAACTCGTATCTCGGGGTTCCACTGTAGATATGTAAGCATGTGTATATGCATGTATGCGCATATACACAACATACATACATAAAGAATATACACATGCACACACGAGCACCTACATTTAAAAATGCATGCATATAAACACACATTTCTGAATCTCCTGATAACAGAAGAATACCTACATGAATCATAGGATTTACACAGTTTATTAGAATTCATGTTTACTTAATCAGTTTTTAGAATTCTTAAATGCAGAGGATTTACATTAATCAGTTTTATTAGAATTTTTAAATGCAGAGGAATTACATTAATCAGTTTTATCAGAATTCTTAAATGAAATCTTCACTATCCGAAAATTCAGTTTCATTTCCAGCTGAAACTGTATCAGGACAATCTCATTTATATTATTTCCCTCTAACAACTGAACATTTTGAAAACCTTTTCTATTCCATGGAAAACTAATGCTACATTAAACATACATTTTCTAAATCTGAAAATTTTAAGTTAGCTTAGAAACTGTAATCATTCTTAAAAAAGTTTGATTTATGCAGATGTTAGATCAATAAAATTACTTTCCTGTGAAAAAGTAATATGGCATTGAACAACACGATTTTACACATCAAGATATACTGAGTGAAAATTCCTGAATGTTTTATTTCTTGGTAT